ATATATATATATATCTATATATATAGATATATACATTTTTTGAACCGGAATGTTTTCGGTTTTTCAAAAACTAAATTCTTAAGGACTTTTAAAAAACCAAAATTTAAAAATTCTTAGTTATTGAAAATCGCACTTTATATTTTTATAATTTTTTAAAAATCCTAAGAAATATCTTCCCTTCTCTCTTTCAAAATAAAGCAAAGGCTTTCTTGAACAAAGGCCATTACTTTGAGTTCAATATAGGATGATTGAACAAAGGCCATTACTTTGAGGTCAATATAGGATGAGAGAGGTCATACGATAGTAGTTGAGAGAGCGCAAGAGATCTTCCACTTTCAATGCTCGAATAAAAGTCACGGTTTTGCGGTCAATACAAGAAGACATACAGTTTTCTTATGCTTCATATGAAATCAATCATTTGAGAGAGGGAGAATAACATACCCTGAGAAACTAGGGTTTTGGAGTGGTAGCTCCTTGCAAGCCTCGAAATAGCAAACCCTAACGCCAAGGAAAACAACAACTACAGAGAAATAAACCCCTCTCTCTCAACAATTGGGGGAGCTGCCATACATGCTCTGTCTGTGGATTGTTCTAGAAGGTTGAAAACGTCCATTTTTAAGAGAAAAAAACCCGTGAAAACATGCCGCTGAGTATTTTATTCAGCAAAAGAGTGATTTACGTAGTGACTTTAAAATTTTAGGTAAAATACAAAAGGGGTTTATCTTGAACAATCCAATTGAGGCGCACCCTCAAATTTTATAATAACATGTAATTTTGTTATAAAAAATTATTAAGATTATCTGAAAATCTATTTTTAACTCCAAAAATGGTTAAAATTAAGTAGATCTATAAACATACTAAAATCTTGAAAATAGACGGTTTAGATAATGTGTTACAAGATGCACTATTTTTTGGAGTCAAAATCTTTTTTTTTCATATTCATACATCTTGATGTCAAGATGATCAATGAGTGGGTTTTTTCAACATTAAAACAATCTTTTCAGATGGATTTTTGAGGTTATCTTTAATTCTACTTTTTAAGGTTGCAGCAACCTTCTATAAACTTTTTCCAATACAAAATGTTCTATTTATATGCGAAAATTAGATCATCCCTCCTTTTTTATCGTTTTCAAAATTGCCCTCAGTCAACTTGATTTTTTATTTTTTATTTTTTTTTTTTCTAAGTTTTTGTTAAAAGTGTAGTACCTTAACGTTTAGGGCACTGCCCTACTAACAAAAAAGTAAAGAAAAAAATGGATTGACTAAGGGGCAATTTTGAAAAAAATAAAAAAAACGCCGGTTGATCGACCTTCTTTATAATTTCTGCCTAAGAAAGGGGCATTTTCTATTTTACCTAAAATTTTAAGGTACTTATGTAAATCACTCTGTAGCAAATGGTGTTAAAGAGCGTTGGAGGCAGGAAAAACGTTTGCTTTATTTTGTTAGAGAGAGAAAAGAGATGAGATTTTTAATATTTCCAAAAATAAAAATAAATAAATTTGGATTTTCAAAAACTGAAATATTTAAGAATTTCGGTTTTTGAAAACCAAAAATTTTAAATATTTTGGTTGTTGAATAATGAAAAAATGGGCAGTTCTGTTTTTATTTAAAAACAAAAAAATGTAAAGAAGTTCAAAAACAGATATATCTATAATAACGGAAACTAAAATGTATTTTTATAATAACAGTAAATATAACATATATATATGTAATTTTCTCTTATTTTTAATTATTAAAGTTTAAAGCTTCAAAAATAGTATAAATCGAGCATATCTATAAATATTTGAAAATATTGAAAATCAACAGCCTAGATAATGCATTACAAGATATACTATCTCCTATCGATTTGAGGGATTTTCCACATTGAAATAACTTCTTTTTGTGACTTTTTTAGGTGTACCTTAATTTGATTATTTAGGGCCTTAACCTTATATATACTTTTTCTATTTGAAAATCATTACCATATAGGTATTTATGAGAAAATAAATCCAGATTTTGAGTTTTTTAATGTTTACATCTTAGGTCTAAAACTAGGATGGCCTCTATTCAATTTTAGGGCATTTATTCTTTTCTAGTGGTACATATAGAATAAAAAAAGTTTATATTAAGTGTCAATTTTAAAACGTAGAAATAAGGAGTTCCTCACAAATCCACATGTCCTTATGTAAAAAAACCTCCATAATTTTTATTTGTTTTACAATATTGAAAGCTCTCTATTGATAGTTCAAAAAGCATACAAAAGAGAGTTACAACACACTTAAAACATCATTACAAATCACCAAGTCAGCAAGTGAAGCCCCCTTTTTTGCTATCCCATCGGCTATATCATTGGCTTCTCAATAGATATAGTAAAATGAGACCCTCATAACTGCTACGAGATCCATGATATGTAGCCAAACTTGTCGCATCTGTACCACATGATGGTATTCAAAGAGCCTCCTTCCACCATGAGAACTACCTCCATCTGTCTATCTTTCAAAGTCTTCGATCCTTGCAATAGAGAGGTCATCTCAGCCTCATTTGCAATCAAAGTCCCGCAAGGTCCGACATAGCAAAATACAATATTCCCATTCCAACACCTGCTCTCATCAGATTTTCGTAAGAACTACCATCAAAGTTTAACTTAGAGCAACCATGCATTGGTAGGGTCCATTTTATTTTCGGTATATACTTAGCCTTCCTCAATTTGAAAAAAATAGGGAGATTAGCCAAAATATCAATTTGACAAATTCCTAAGCCTTTTTTCAAAATTGATAACCAGCTCCACATGCTATGCTTAACGTTGAATAACACCCTCTCAAAAGGAAGTGAAACCCCATCAAAGATCATGCGATTCCTCTCCTTCCACAACTCCCACATGATTGTCCCTCTGAGGATCATCCAAAACTTCATATCACCCCCAGATAACTTTATCCCTAAAAATTGTGTTAGAATACAATCTAGAGAAAAGGGCACAACTCACGCAACTCTGAGCTAATTAAAACCCCCCCCCCCCCCCCCCCCCCCTTCGAAGCGAAAGCACAATGAAGGAATAGATGATGACCCGATTCCCCATCACATTTACACATAAGGCACATATTCGTCAAAATCTTACCTATTTTAATAAGATTGTAATAGTTAGAATCTTCTCATGTATAGCTAACCACACAAAAGCTTGAACCTTGTGGGGTATCAGCCACTTGCAAACACCTGCTAGTACTTGTATTTTTACAGACCATCTCCAACGATCATGAAACAACATACTATAAACTGATTTGACAAAAAACATAGCCTCTTTTTCTAATTCCCACACAATTTCATCCTCCTCCAAATTGGATACATACACATTTTTTGAAAGAGACATCAAACTGAAAAATTGAGTAGCTACTGCCTCCAAAACCCTATAATTGATCATCGTGAGCTCGAGATGTATAGATATGGAATAAAAAGGATGTCAAATATTGAAAATAATGCTACTTATAACATATTATCTAGACCGACTCTATTTTCAAAAAAATTAAGTACTTATAGATCTACATTATGTTTTTACCTTTAAATTTGATAATTAAAGGTGAAATAGATTTTTAAGCTTGTAAGTGTCTTGTACATCAAAACAACATCTTTTAAGCGAGATTTAGAGGTGCACCTTATTTTGATTGTTTAAGATTGAAACATTATACAATTAAAAACTTTGAGGGGTTTACATAGGAAATCTATTTCTAAGGAAATAGATTTATTAGATTTAGATTTCTTAGACTTATTTTTTCCATGTTTGGTGACACATCTAGATGTCCCCTATGAAACTATTTTCTATTGTTTGGAAACTTGTTTGGGAATCTACCATCCTGGAATCTCGATTCCACTATTCTAGAATATGGAATGTAATCTATTTTTAACCATTTATTACGAGTATTTTTTATAAGACATTGATATATGTCCAACGAATATGATATCTTAAAAATTACCCATCTTGATTAGGACTAACAAAATGAATGGTCCAAATCACTAGATCCAAAATATTTTAATTTATTATTCTCTCTCCCTCCTTCTGAGTCCTAAGAAATTCAATAGGTGTTAACATCTCTATTTTGTAAATTATTAATCTTAAAATGATGTCTTTCTCTTTTTCTCATTTTCTCTTACATCATTTCCATAGTGGGGTTATTCCAAGCATCAACTGCATAATTCATTGATGCACTTTCAAACAAACAATTCCCACCCCCTGCACATAAAAGAGGTGAAGGGAACAAAAACACAAGAAATTTAAGATCAAATAGAGAGTGTGGGGTATATTAACGAAGCAAAACCCCATCGTATACTAGCAACTATCCAATGACTTTTACAAAACCAAAACATATGGAACCCCATCATCGACAGTCTACTCATGATCCGTGTGAGGAACCCCATTGAAAACCATATGAATAAAAAGCTGGCTAGAAGGGGAACAACATTTCAAAATTTGAGCTAATTTGGCCTCGTGAATTGTGAGATATGGACAAGTCTTTGAGCGGAAAAAACTTGAATGTTGCTGGAAATTGTTTCCTCATGAATAAACTATGCACTTTCCGCAAAACTTTTGGCGTCCATTGGTAGTCCGTTAAATATTGCTTTAAAAATGGTACTTTCCAACATTGGATCGACACCAAATTTGAAACTACTACGCTTCTCTTCCATAACAGTTTTGGCCCATTCAGCGATGGATTTCTTGCGGTATCTTTGTAAATTTGGGCTATTTAAGGGGTGACACCACCTTTAACCCTTCAGAAAGAGATCCAGAAGGCCATATCTGAGTCGTCTAACCTCTAATTGAGCTCAAATTTGGGATTTTGGCATTTTAATATAGTTTCTTTCTTCTACCAAAGTTTCAAAACATTTGGCCGTTGGCTTCTTAGGGCTTTTTTTAAAATTGAGGGCCAATTTGGGCACCAGGTCAGAACTTTCAACTTTGCATAGTCGCATCTTGGTCATCTAATATCGGATTGGCCTAATTCTTAGAGGTAGCCTTAGGGTACCTTAGGTTAAAGTTATACATCTTTGGATATCATTTTAGAGCAAGTTTGACGTAGGTTTGACTGTGCACTTGTTTGGCCCATCTGGTTGCCAATTTAAGCATATAACTAGCTTGGTTTGTCTTTGTTTTTAATTAGGGACTTTCTCATATCCTATCATACAGATTTACTAATGTTGAGCCCAATTTGAGGCTGTTTTCATCGGCTAAACCCAATTCTAGTGATTCATGTGGTATTCTGGTAGTTATCGTGCTTAGTGTCTATTCGGTTGATTGTCTTTGTAGATTGCACTTAGGGGGCCACTGTTTTGACTTTTCTTCATCTTTTTTATTTTGGGCAACAAGAGATCCTTCGAAAGGTCCAAATTTTAGAGTTTCACCTCCTTGTCATTGTAGTTCGATATTGCGCTAGACAACCATAGCAAATACCCCTCAATGACTTTATTATGCATAAACGTGCCCTCCCCCCCCCCCCCCCAAGGACAAGAGAATGTCACATGATTAGGGAACTACGAAGCGCATGACAGTCAACCTCAGTTTGGGTAGGGTAGTGTCATCATATGATGATTTCTCAACTTTGGGGTGTGTCAGTATCACTATTGGT